GGACAAGAGGATTGCCTGAGCCCGGGGGTTCGAGATGAGCCTGGGCAATTTGGCAGGACCTCGTCTCTATAATAAATCACAAAAACTAGCTGGGCGTGTTGGCATGTGTCTGTAGTTCCAGCTACTTGGAAGACTGAGGCGGAAGGATCGCCTGAGCCCAGCAGGTCGAGGTTGTGGTGGCCGTGAGCGTGCCACTGTACTCCACGACAAAGAGTGAGACTCCAACTCAAAAAATAATAATAATAATAATAATAATAGTAATAATATTGTGACTCTTTTGCGCTCTGTTTTGGTTTTAACCTCAGGCAGTCCCACTCTGCATGGTAGCCTCCAGAATCTCCACACTACACCCTTACAGCTCCAAATGCATGGAGAAAGTTCCCTATTAACTCCAGAAAAGTTCCTGGGATTTTCCCCTATTGGATGAATTCTGTCAACGCCCCCTTCACTGTGGCCAGAGACATTTGATGTGCTAATGTCTGAATCAAAGGTATACTTCCTGGAACCAATAGCTAAGCTCCTCCGAAAATCATGCGCTCTGAGATTGGGTGAATTGTTGTTCTTTAATGGTAAACTTAAGGGTTTGTCAAAAGAAGGTTGAATGGATATTGGGTTGACAAAAGCAATATCCATCCACTACAATCCCCAGCAGCTCACTGAAATGGTTGTAATGGGGCTTGTAAGGCAGACTAAATTGCACGAACAAGGTGCTGGCTCAGTTCAGGTCTTTGGGACGTTGGCACAGATGCTGCCCTGTCCAGCCACACACAGACAGGATGCAAGCTGTTGTGTCTGGGTGATGGACATAAAGACTACTCTTCCAGCCTCTCAACTGCTCTGGCACAGGGGACCTCATTTGTGATTTATCAGTAATGGGTCACACCCAGGCTACTCTCTTGGCCTCTCAAGCTGTTTTTCTCCCTCTGATATAAAAATAACACTTAAACAGGATCCCCAACCCCATGTCCTAGGCAAATCAGATCTCCAGAGATGGCAGCCAAATTCACCCAGGGTTAGGGTGCAGGGTCCTTATTATACACCCTGTCCATGAGTAAGCCAAGAAGTAGGATTTCAAGAAATATGATACCATGGCCAGTGGCTAAAATCAATCACCCAAGGAGTATTTATTACCCAGCTGAAGCCAGTACCTTCTGCTGATTCGTCCTGACAAAGAGTGGGGGCCAGGCTCGCAGCAAGAGCAGGAGTGGAAGCTCTGAGAGGCCAAGGGCAGAGGCAGGGCAAAGGCAGGACAGGGGCAGGGCAGAACACTGCTTCTTTAAAACTAGGACATTGAACCGGGCACAGTGGCTCACGCCTGTAATCCCAGCACTTTGGGAGGCGGAGGCAAGAGGACTACCTGAGCTCAGGAGTTCGACACCAGCCTGAGCAACATGGCAAGACCTCGTCTCTATAACAAATCAAAACATCAGCTGGGCATGGTGGCACATACCTGTGGTTTCAGCTACTTAGAAGGCTGAAGAGGAAGGATCATCCGAGCCCAGCAGGTCGAGGCTGCGGTGGCCATGAGTATGGTGCTACACTCTAGCCTGGGTGACAAAGTGAGACTCCAACTCAAAAAAAAGAAAACTAGGACATGACTATAGTTTCAGTGTTGAGCAGTGCTGGTGTGTGCCCCCAGCTGGAGTCCTCCTCTACCCCAGCCTTGGGGGCAGCATGAGATGGCACCTGAATAGTCCTAGCTCTCACGCGACTGCTTGCCTTCAGAGTCTCGTAGTTGGAGGTCTAGGGAGCTGGAAGCAAGTGGCAATGTAATAATGAGAGCAGCCCCTTACAGAGTGTATATTACATGCCAGGCCTGTGCTTCCCATAAAGCTTGGAGATAAGAATGTGGGCACTAGAGTCAGAAATCCTGGGTTGGACTCTTGGTTCCATTTCACTAGCTTTGAGATTTCGACCAGTTACTCAATCTATTTATACCTCAGTTTTCTCATCTGTAAAACTGTAATAATAAAAGTATTTGCCTTACAGAGACTTGCAAGGCATTCCATGAGATGCTGTATATAGTGTGTCTTACACAATGTCTTGCGGATATTAAGCACTGCACAAACATAAAGGGTCATTGTCTGCATATGCTGCTTCTAACCCTACCCTAGTTCTGCAATGTAGAGAGCCTTGGCTGCTCTAACAAAGGTTCAGTTTGGCAGTGGCTTAAACAAGACTGAAAAGTATTTCTCTCTCGAGTCCAGAGGTAGGCGACCAGGGCAGGAATGGGAGAGGTTCTATCATCCTCATACTGCATTTTCCACTGTGGGATTCAAATAGCTGCCCCAGCTCCCACCATTATCTCATAATTCTAGTCAGTGAGAAGGGGTTCCCATTCCTTGCAGGAGTATCCTTGTAAGTTGCATATAACATTGCTGCTCAGATCTCATCTGTTGTTTAGTCACGTGGCCATACTATCTGCAAACATAATCTTGCACTCACTTAATACTGTGGGGATTTACTTATAGAAGAAGAAGGGGAGAATGGATATAGCACTACTAGAAATCACCCATCAGGCCACTCCACACAAAGAACTCATTTATCACCCCTCAAAGAGAGGCAAGTCAGAGTTCCCAGCTCAGAGTCCAGGATTGCTGAGGGACGGGCAGTCCCCTCTTTCAGGCTATGTGTTCCTCATGTTTACTGACCTAGAAATTAAAAGGCAGGTAATCCGCTCCTCCCATTCCTCGCAAACAAAAATGGAGAAGGGGCCGGGCTCCGTGGCTCAGCCTGTAATCCCGCGCTTTGGGAGGCCGAGGTGAGTGGATTGCCTGAGCCCGTGGGTTCGAGACTCGCCTAGGCAACTTGGTGAGACCCGTCTCTACAATAAATCAAAATTTTAGCTGGGCATGGTAGCATGCGCCTGTAGTTCTAGCTACTTGGAAGACTGAGGTGGAAGGATCGCCAGAACCCAGCAGGTCGAGGCTGCGGTGGCCGGGAGCAGCCACTGCACTCCAGTCTGGGTGACAGAGTGAGACTTCAACTCAAAAAAAAAAAAAAAAAATGGAGAAGGAACAAATAAACCCAATTAAAACATTCACTCGCAACAGAAAGAATGGTAAACACCCAGCAGCCACTGGATCTTAACAATGACCAAATCTAGTTGGGCAGGAATGGCTAAGCCCCTTCTTGGCAGTGGAGAGTAAGTTTTGGTCAGCACAACTGGCTGCCCCAGTTCTGCTCTCTGGGAGACTCTCCCTATTCTACTTTTCTATGTGGCCTCTGGCTTCGCCTCCTGGAAAGTTACTCCTTATCCAATGTTCTCTGTGACTGGGTGAACAAACATGTGCTTCTCATAGACCTTACAGCCTTCACAACCCTCTACTTGCTGGTGCAGATTTGGAGGGCCGAGGAAAATAGTGAAGAGAGGAAGTATCAAACTAGGCTTTCATAATAAGTTTTATGGTTTCTTTTTTCTTTTTTTTTTTTTTGAGTTGGAGTCTCACTCCGTTGCCCAAGCTGGAGTACAGTGGCACGCAGGCTCATGGCCACCCCAGCATCAACCTGCTGGGCTCTGGCGATCCTTCCACCTCAGCCTTCCAAGTCCTGCCCAGCTAGTTTTTTTTTTTTTTCATTTATTACAGGGAAGAGGTCTCACCAAGTTGCCCGGGCTGGTCTTGAACCTGTGGGCTTAGGCAATCCACTCACCTCCGCCTCCCAAAGTGCTGGGATTACAGGCTGAGCCACCGAGCCTGGCCTGGTTTATGGTTTCTTTGCCAATATGGTGCCTCAGAATCTGAGAAGCCTTCTGATTGGTTCCATGTTCAAATAACCACAGCCAAAGATAGTATGTAGACATTTTTATGTTTGAATATTCTGGGCTTGGTGTCGAGGCCATCTGAAAAATCCTGCTTGGCTGTGAAGGGAACTATCTTATTCTGATTTCTGTCCACTGAGCCAGCTCCTACTGTCCAGTGAATAGGAAGTGTTTGAGAAAAGTTGGGACTACAGGGACAGTGCTTGCTGAGGTCACCCTCCTGCCTGTGTTCTTCAACACCTTCCCCATATGAGGCACCTTTTGAGGGTTTACTGGAAATATGTGCAATACATTCAGCAAGAAATCCAGCAGTCCTTTACTGAGTGTCCACTCCAGGGCCAGGTGCTGGGATGGAAGAGGCTGGAAGGAGGAGAGGAAGGGAGGGGCAGGGAGAGGGAAGCTAGAGCAGCTGGGTCAGCATTCCCAATTTGGACATTGACTCAGGTCCCAGGAATGCCAAGGAAGGGGGTGGGCAGCCACCACGGCCAGGCTGCGATCCTGTTGGCACCATGGGTTGTAGGCACAGCACACAGAGAGGGATGGGGACTGGAGAGCCTGCACACCCAGATGGCTCTTCCAACCACAGGTGAAGCAGGTGTCTCTCCCTCTGTGGACAAGTGTGGGCCCTGAGCCCTCCCTGCCCCTTCAAGGTGATCCTCACAGGTCCCCACTTGCCTGAACCACCCACTCCACCTCCTTCACCTGAGAGAGGGACAGGCTCCTGGAACTCAAATGGGGACATCTGGACATACATTGGCTGCTCTCCCAGGACTACCCACAAACCCCTTGTTTTACCTCAAGCCTCTGAGCTGGCTGCAACCTGTCCTTTCTAACTCCAGCACCACCCTCTACTGCAATTTGTACAAGGAAGAAAGTTAAACTCAATCCACCTCCAGTTCCTCTCCTCTGGCACCTGAGAAAGATGACAGAGGCCCTTGGAGTAGGAGCCTAGGACTTTTGAGAGGCCGATTTTACCCAGTGTCCAGTACCCATGCCCCATGATGCTCTAAGCCACCTCCCCCCACCACAGGTCCTTCAGACACCTGAGAGGCAGCCAAGGACCCAGCATCCAGATTCTCAGATGCTCCCCTTTCCTCCCCACCAGCCCCTGGGCTACCGGACTGGAGCAGCTCAGTGGGTGGGCCCCTCCCTCTCCCTGCCTGACACCCAATCAGAGAGAAACTGATCTGGGCAGGGCAAGGTGCCCAGAGCCGGGCCCAGAATAGTGCTGCCAGCCACAGTGTCACACACTTGTTCTCCGTTGGTCCGGGCTGGCTGCATGGAGCCCGAGCTGGAGCACGCACTGCGCAGGGTATGGAGGTCCCAGAGGGCTGGAGCTGGGGCAGCTGAGGCCTGAGGCCTGAGAGCACACGTCGCCTGAGAGTACACGTTGTGAATCTGTGTGTGTGTGTGTGTGTGTGTGTGTGTGTGTGTGTGTGTGTGTGTGTTTGGTCGGGATTTTCTCTGCGAATATGAATGTGTGCGTGTCTGGTGTACATATTGAGAGTGTGGGTGGTTCTGTGTGTGTCTGGGAGTGCTAGACATGTGTGTGTTTGTGTCTGAGTGTTTGTGTCTGAGTGTGTGGGGTGTGTGCAGTGAGAAGGGGATGACCTGTGGTTTGGGGACACAAAACCCTTCTCTGCCCCTCAGACAGTGTTCTCCCCACAGACCCCTTCCTGGAGCAGCCTGCGGGGACCTGAGCGTCAAGGTGGGTAGACGGCCCCTCCCTGTGAGCCAACATCCTCCCCACTTCCTTGTCCCCCACTTATCTGGGACCCCAATCTCCCCTCCCAGCCTGGCTTTTGTCTTCCTCTCCTTTTCCTTCTTTCTTCCTCCTTGTTCCTTCTCCCTACCTTCCCAAGTTGTGTTTCCCTCCCCTCCTCTTTGCTCCTTCCAGAAGAAAGGGAGGATCTGGAGACTGAAGACTTGGGCCCAAGTCCTGACTTTCCCACTTACTAGCTGTGTGATTTGTGGCAAGTTGCTGAACCTCTCTGAATTTCTGGTCCCTCACTGATAAAACAGGGATGATAGTAATGCCTCCCTTATAAGGCTGCTGTGAGCTTTGAATGAGAAATATGCTGGAGAAAAGCCCATTGGAAGCTTGCAAATATTAAATATTAGTCTTAATAGCAATTGAATTGATTTTGCCATCTTACTCCCTACTAACCCAATAAGCCCTATTTCCTCTTCTAGAAATGAGCTTTGTAGAGCAAGGCGAAAGCACCCCATGGCCATCACCAGCTGTGACCACCAGTTCAGAAAGTATCCGTGGGAAACGGAGGGCCAAAGCCTCAAGATGGACAAGGCAGGAGGCTGTGGAGGAAGGGGAGCCACCAGGTCTGGGGGAAGGTGAGGCGAGGCCAGCTCTGGGGAGGTGAGTGCCGGGGCAGTGGAAAGTCCCACAGAGCAGAGTTGAACCCAGCCCTCATCTTGTAGCCTCAGCCTCCCCCACGTGGGAGAGGACAACTGCATCACAGATCTGGGGGCCCAGCATGGCCAACTCAGAAAGACAAGGCAGGGCCACTGTCTGGGGTGATCCTCTGAGACTCGGCTTCTCATCTGCAAAATAAGACCACAGCATCCAGACTTCCCAAGGCTACTGTGAGATCAACTGAGACAGCAGATGACAAAGTGCTTGGAAGATGGAGTTACTGTCCTCTCCCCCTCCTCCCTCCCCAACAGGTTCCCGGTCCAGGCCAGCTGCTGAGTCCACCAGGCTGGAGGCCACATTCCCCAAGGCCACACCCTTGGCTCAAGCTGCTCCTGCTGGGATGGGCACCCCACCAACAGGGTGGGACTTCCTCCCCCCTGACTGTGCAGATTCAGCTGCAGTTTCCAGTACAGATGACGTCGAGCTGGTGATGGAGTTCCCAGCCACAGAGGCCTGGGGGTGTGAGCTGGAAGGCCTGGTGGAAGAGAGGCCCGCCCCATGTCCGTCCCCGCAAGCCCTGTTACCCAAGCTGAGCTGGGACGATGAGCTGCAGAAGCCCGGGGCCCAGGTCTACATGCGCTTCATGCAGGAGCACACCTGCTACGATGCCATGGCCACCAGCTCCAAGCTGGTCATCTTCGACACCATGCTGGAGGTGAGGCCACAGCTCTGCCCCAGCTGCGCTTGGGCCCCATCCACACAGTGCTGCAGCCACCACTCCTACCCTGCAGGACGTCTTGCCAAGCCATATTCCCTGCGAATCCCTTTCCAGGACTCCTTCTTAGCACCATGGAGATCAGTGGGGGAAGGGAGAGTTTCTACTCTCTGTGAGTTCTCCCTAATTGTCATTGTAGCTCTGCCACTCCACTCAGTGTCTGTAGTGTCACTTTTCCAGTGTTACCTTTCCAGGATCAGAATGCCTGCTTCACCCTGCGTGGTTCAGCGGATTCTTGGGACAACCCAGTATAAAGTGGGAATGCTTTACAAACCTCGAAGTATGTGAAAGGCATTGCAGAGTCATTTAGGACAAAGAGTAGGGGACTTTTTTGGTAACAGAAAAATAGGATGAGCTCTTCCATTAGGCTAAGCTACAAAATGTCTGTGATTCTGTTCTTATCACCATTATGCAGAGCAGTGTTTCCCAAAGGGTGGTAGAATATCGTGTCCACATTACACATTTTTAACCTAGCAGTTCATGAGCAGCTGTTTATTTCAGTAGCTTTGTATCTATTTTAATGTGCATTAGAAAAATATAACCAGCATTATAGAAAATACTGCTTAAGATAAGGCTCAAAATGAGCCAATATAAAATATTTTTAAAGAAAAATTGTGTAAATATGTACATGTTATGTAAATAGTTATACCTGTAGTGCTTGAATTAGAAAAAACTATACTGTGTCTATACACACACAGGACTTCCAAGTGGAAACAAAGTTAGAACTTCTCATTCCCTGGTGGGGCTAGCCTCAGTCTCAGTGCCTTGGGTCACAAGCAGCCTTACTTATGTAGCAAATGTGCCCGATGCTGGTTACATCTAATGTGTGCCATGATATGAGAAAGATGGGTAAGCTCGTGTAGAGGAGGACTCGGAAGAAGGCTCCGTGGAGGGATCCTGGTTGGGACAGCCAGGCGATAGCAGGCAGGAGGGTGCCCACTGAGGGACAGTGAGAGAGGAGGGTGAGGGTCCTTTGGGACTCACCCTTGACTGTTCCCTCTGCTCCTCAGATCAAGAAGGCCTTCTTTGCCATGGTGGCCAACGGCGTACGGGCAGCCCCTCTGTGGGACAACAAGAAGCAGAGCTTTGTGGGTGAGAAGAGGCTGGGGAGGCAGCGGTGGATGAAGAATGGGAAGGGGACAACTGAGGGCGAGAAGGGGGAAGGTCTACTCCTGGGTCTTGTGTGGTCAGCCAGGAAATCTCGGGGCTCAATTTCCCCATCTGTGGAGTAGAGATCACCCACAGACCACTTCCAGCTCTGCTAACTTATGGTCTCATGCCATAGGTGCTTGTTTGCCAGTGAGGAAAGGGAGAGGAAAATAAAGAGCAGGGAAGCAGAGAAGAATCAGAGGGAGACCCCCCCTCTTCTCAGGCTGGGTTGGGCTCCCCCAATCCTCCTCTCACGATCCTGCTATGTCTTGGTGCCAGGACACTGTCAGGGTAGGGAGGGGGTCTGACTTTCTCAGCCTGCTTCCCACCAAAAGGCTCCACGCTGACCTTCTCCCTATGCCTCCCCTCCCGACCCTGCAGGGATGCTGACCATCACAGACTTCATCTTGGTGCTTCATCGATATTATAGGTCCCCCCTGGTGAGGAGTGGGCCGGGAGTCCTGCGGGCACCCAGGTGGGCGGTGGTGGAAGGGGCTTCTTCTTGGAGCCTGTGCCTGAGAAGCCCATGTCTGACTCCTGGAGCCTTGTCAATGTCTCTAGGTCCAGATCTATGAGATTGAACAACATACAATCGAGACCTGGAGGGGTGAGCGTCAAGAGGGGACCCAGAAAGGGGCTGTGTGGGGCTGGGCCAGGGGCCTGGGGTAGAGGGTGAGCAGTGAGGGTTTCCTGGAGGGAGCAGGAAAGGGGCAGTAGGGAACCTCAGGGTCCCCAAAGGGAAGGGAAGCAGTCTGGGACTGCAGGGCAGGGCAGGGTGGCCGGCTCCCTTGGCCTGATTCTGGATTTTTCTGCAGAGATCTACCTACAGGGCTCCTTTAAGCCTCTGGTCTCCATCTCTCCCAATGACAGGTAGGCATACCCCTTCCCCCACCTGGGCCTCTTTCTCACAGTCCCCTTCCCTGTCCCATTCAGCTCTAAATGCATCTCTTCATTCTAGGTGGCACAAAGGCAAGGCAGCCTTGGTGCCCTCTTCCCCTTTGTAGGGGGCTGGGATGAAGGGTATCTCTCCCCAGCCTGCTCCCAAGCTCACTGCTTCCACCCCTGCAGCCTGTTCGAAGCTGTCTATGCCCTCATCAAGAACCGGATCCATCGCCTGCCTGTCCTGGATCCAATCTCAGGCTCTGTACTCCACATCCTCACACACAAGCGCCTGCTCAAGTTCCTACACATCTTTGTGAGCCTGGGCTCAGGTGGGAGGAAGGGAGAGACCCCAGGAGGCGACCAGAGGGACTGAGACATCTTCAACCCTAGGAGTGGGGAGGGAGGAGCTGGGAGCCCTTGGGAGGCTGCTAGACCCCTGATCTCCACCTCATCCCCACCCCAACCAGGGTGCCCTGCTGCCCCGGCCCTCCTTCCTCTACCGCACTATCCAAGATTTGGGCATCGGCACATTCCGAGACTTGGCCGTGGTGCTGGAGACAGCGCCTGTCTTGACTGCACTGGACGTCTTCGTGGACCGGCGTGTGTCTGCGCTGCCTGTGATCAATGAAAATGGTACCCGCCCCCAAGACCTAAGGCTCCCCTGGGCTGGGGCAGAGGAGGGCCTGGTGGGGAGAATCTGGAGTGGGCAGGAGGCAGTGTGGCATCTACTGGGTACCTAGGGTGGAGTGGAAATTAGAAGTCTCTGCCTGCTCTGAGATTTAGACCAGTTGCATAGCATCTCTGTGCCTCAGCTTCCTCATTTGTAAAATGCAAATCTCAATAACACCCATTCTTCTGACTTCACTGGAGAATTTAAAGGATGATGTGCAATAAAATGGTCATAGTGACAGGAAACAGCAGGAACCAGGTTTTTGACTTCAGTTCATCCTAAAATAGACCATGGGACCTTGGGCTCCCAGCAAGATTTCAATTTCTGCTTTGAAAAAGGGTTAGAAGGATATAAGATTATTTCTTTGGTGGATGATGGCTATAAAGTATTTCAAAGCTAAAATCACCATAATTAAGCTAGATATCAAGAAGTGTTTTTAATTTTTTATTATACAAAATTTCAAATATGATTTAAAAATTGCATAATGAACCCCATATTTTTTTTTACCTGGATTATCTACTGTTAACGTATTGCCATAATCAGTTCATCTTTGTTTTAAATTATTCAAAGTAAATTACAGATATCATTTCATTTCTTTTTTTTCTTTTTTTTTTTTTGAGTTGGAGTCTCACTCTATCACCCAGACTGGAGTGCAGTGGCCGCTCCCGGCCACCGCAGCCTCGACCGACTGGGCTCTGGCGATCCTTCCGCCTCAGCCTTCCAAGTAGCTGGAACTACAGGCGCGCGCTACCACACCTGGCTAATTTTTTATTTATTGTAGAGACGAGGTCTCGCCAAGTTGCCCAGGCGGGTCTTGAACCCGCGGGCTCAGGCAATTCACTCACCTCAGCCTCCCAAAGGCGCGGGATTACAGGCTGAGCCACCGAGCCCGGCTTATGTCATTTCACCCTCAAGCACATTAGTCTGCATCTTTTAAAATAAGCATATTTTTCTCTACCACTTAGCAAAATCATAAACAATTTACAATATTATCTGATAGCCAATCCTTATTCTCATTTCTCCATTTTCTCAAGAATATATTTTTTTACAGTTGATTTGTTCAAAACAGGATCCAATTGACGTTCATATTTTGCATACGTATCTTTTGTTTCTTAAGTCTCTTTAAATCCAGAACGGTTCTAGTCCCCCTTAATTTTCATGACGCTGATGAGTTGAAAGGCCTGAGTTAGTTGTCTCATTGGTTACCCTGCCTCCAGATTTGTCCATTTGCTTTCTAGAGCTGGCCTTCACTTTGTTCCTCAATTCCTGCATTTCCTGTAAACCAGAAATTAGGTCTAAAGGCTTAAAGAAATTTCAGAGCATACATTTGAGACTAGAATGTATCATAGGTGATGCCTTATTCCTCACATTGTGTCTCCTCAGGAGGCATGATGTCTGTTTGTCTCATTCTTTGATACCAAGTTTGATCAAGTACTTGGTCAAACTTGGTATCACAGAATGAGACAACCTGACATCATGATGCCTTGTCATATAAAGCCAGTGGTCCCAGGCCCTCTGCACAACACCCTAGTTCTGATCTGAGCCTCTTCCCTGTTTTTCTCTCCCCTGCCCCTCCATTAAAACTTCACCCTCTGCAGGTCAGGTCGTGGGCCTCTACTCCCGCTTTGATGTGATCGTAAGTGTCTGTGGAAAGCAGGGATGCTGAGGGCAGGGGGTTTAATGAGGGTATCTGTGAACCAGGGGGACCTTGACAAGTGTGTAGGGGATGATATCTGTGTGGTTGGGGTTGGAGCCTGGGCGAAGGAGTGACTAGGAGCCATACTTCCCTCCCTACTCCAGCACCTGGCTGCCCAGCAAACCTACAACCACCTGGACATGAGTGTGGGAGAAGCCCTGAGGCAGAGGACACTATGTCTGGAGGGGGTTCTTTCCTGCCAGCCCCACGAGAGCTTAGGGGAAGTGATCAACAGGATTGCTCGGGAGCAGGTACCTATGCCCGTCATGCGTGCCCCAATACGTGTAACCCAGTCCTCGTGCACGGCTCCAGCCACCCCTGTACATCCTGGCCTGTCCTCTCATTTCACGATCAGCTTCTGGTGTCCACACTGTCTGCACCTGGCCTTGTCCATGGGGCCCTTGTGCTAAGGGACACTGCCAGCTGATCATTCTAGGGTGGTCACCCCTAACTGGTTCCTAGGAGACTCTCTCATCCCCAGTTATATCAGGTTGTTTCCCTGATTCTTAGCGGCCTGGCTCTGTCCCCTCACTGAACACTATGAACCCACAGGTACACCGGCTGGTGCTAGTGGACGAGACCCAGCACCTCCTGGGCGTGGTCTCCCTCTCTGACATCCTTCAGGCCCTGGTGCTCAGCCCTGCTGGCATCGATGCCCTCGGTGCCTGAGAATATCCAAGTCCACACCTGGAAGCCAAGGAAGAGAGCCGGGAAACTCGACCTTCATCTCCCCCAACCCCCGTTTGCTGGGTCAGCTCTGGTTCAGGTAGGCTCTGCCCTGGGAGAGACCAGCTCTGCGATTGTTCTGGTCTCAGCTATCAGACCGGGATACCTTGAGGATGGGAGTAGCCCAGCTCACAGCTGAGTAGTCCTTTCACAACTACAAGTGTAAGGACTTCCAGGCCCCCTTTTGTCCTATTCTCAGCTGAGGTCATGGGGGCCCTCCTAGGAGGCAGGGACAGAGCTTAGATTAAAGACTAAGGCATCCATGCGACTTCAGGCACTCTGCAAAGATTTACCTGTTCCCTCACAATTCAATTCCCGCCTGCTGGGAGTTCCATCAGAAGGAAGCAAGCTGTGTAAACCTTTGCTGAATGTAATTTCCATCTTTTAAGAACTAAGGCTTAAAGGCGGGCACTTCTACCTAAGTGTTGATCTCAGTACATTGGATACGATCTCAGACTCTTTCCTAGGAGCGCGTTTGCTAGGGGCTTCCAGAAGGATGGTGCACAAATTTCACCTACCCGGCAAGACTTCCCCTTTGGAAAGGCAACTTTCCCTTCCCACTTGGTCACTATCTTCCCTTCTTTTCTCCTCACAGGCCTCTCCAGCCCTCCCTAATTGTCCTTGCCCTGCCTGTGCTCCCAGAAGTCCGCACCACAGGATGAAATTAAGGAGAACAACTGAATAAAGCCTGGAGGTCCCTGAACCAGAGGCACTGGGATTCCCCCAGGGCCGTCTGTGCTCCATGCCCACCCATGCCCCTTTCCCCTGCCTGAACCGGGACTGGCCCCAGTGGGATGGTGAGCTAGCAGCCCATGGGTTTAATCGGGGGTTCTGGATTCTTCGGCTTCTGGACTGTTCAAGCCCCAGCTCCTGAGAGTCCCAGCTGTTCTTCCCCCTTCCGAACCACATGGTTCCCCACAACTTAGCCACAGCCCTCCTACTCTCCCAGCACAGTCATTCCAGGACTGCTGGAGGTCACCATGGAGTAGTAATTATTTCTACAACTGCTTGTTGGAGTGGGGTCCTCTCTCCATTCTTGTGCAGAAAACTCCTTAGCTTTCACCATGAACATACCCTGATTAGTGTTCTCAATCTCCAGTGATGAAAGACAGCCTTGTATTCAGATCCCTGAGAATGAGCTATCAAAAAAACAAAACTAAAAGAATGATCTATGAACTTGGATTTTATAGGCTTCACTCAAAATGCTACAGTGATTTAACCTAAACTTGTAGCAAGCTTCCTGTGCTTTCTGAATTAAAGGGAAGTTGACAACATCTGCAAGTGCCATTTCTTTTGCACATAAAGTGTTACTCCACTGAAATTTATTTTTTACCTTGTCTTTACAACAAAACCGTAAATAAATGTTTAATTACTTACATAGTAGATACAACTCAGTCTGCAATAAACATTTATTTTCCTAAAACTGAATGTAATTTCCATAAAGAATCTCATTTCACCAGGTAGTAGAAATTAATCTCAGTCAATATGGCATCTCCCCTGACCTTTTCCTGGGGTTGAGTTTGGTGAGGAGTGGAAGGCTTTAAGTCATGTAAGACTTTGTTTCTCAGCCATTGTCATCATCCACGCCAGCACCTGCTAAAACATCCCCATCCCCATCTGCTCATCAATTGACCATGCATGGTCTCTGGCAGGTGCTCCTTCACCCTACAAAGCCTCTCTGGGTCTGCCTACACCTGGGGCATGCAGAACATTCTAGCTCCTGGCCCTGCAGCCTCCTGGGTTCAGGAAGTACTGTGAGGCTGCTTCAGGCCCATCTGCTGGGAGGTATAGCCAGCAGCCTGCTCTACTCTCTCTCTTGCTGTCTTCCCAATCTTTACCAAAAACATGGGGTCCAGGGTTCTTCCACCCTTGGAATCTCCAGACCTATATGGAATATTTGTCACACTCTCCTTTCTCTTCAGACTCAGTCGCCTTTTAAGGGCCTTTTTCTCAAGAACCCCAGAAATGTCTACAGTCCCTTTGCTCCCCAACCCCTGCCAGTCTATGGAATCTTTACAAGGGGGCCTTTGTTCGCTAAACTCATCATATACAAAGGGTGCCAAAAAAGTATACAGATTTTAAGAAAGGAAAGAACTGTATTAAAGTTGTAATACTCAGTATATACCAACAACAAAAGATGAATACAAGTCACATTTGACTTCTGCAATTACAAGAGGTGCTCAAAGTGGTTATCATCAGCATCCAGGCACTTCTGATTAAGGCAAACTAAAAGTAATACATAGATAGCATCTCTTAAAATGTGTGTACTTTTTTTTGCCATCCCCGGTATTCTTCCAAATCCACTGTGTGTGTCCTGAGTTCTTGCTACCCACCTTCCAGATCAGGCTCTTTTGAAATTCCGAAGCCAAGACTCACTTCTTCTATGTCTCCCTACCCTATGGCAATGGGCACTGTAGGACCTGGTCTAGTGACCCAGTGGGGGAGGGGAAGGTCAGTGTCCCTAAAATGTGATCCTGCCCCTTTTAACTTGCAGAGTTGCAGAGAAGAGACATTTGTACTGGATTGGCCCGGCAGTAAATGAAGGTATTTTCTTATTAGACATTTTGTCACACCTAAGGATCAGTGCTACTCTGAGCCCTCCTCGGAAGTTCTGGGATCTTGGGCTCAAGGGGGAGGATGGGATGGGTGATTTTAGGGTGTGGGCCAAAAGAGGGTCTCTTCAGTGACAATGCCCTTGGAGATTCTGGGGCAGGCTGCCCTGGCTGCAGCTGGTCCTGAGAAAGCATCGTGGGTCAGCCCCCTGAGGTTGTGCCTCGGGTCTCTGAAGGAGAAGCACCTTCAGTGGTGACAGCGAAGGCTGAGGACAAGCAGCCTCTGGAAGGCACAATTCTCCCCTCTCGCCCCTTGCCCTTTCCTGAGAGCAGACATGTCTCCACCTGTTTGGGTCCACCATCCTGAGGACCTGGCCGGTCTCTCTCTTGGGCCCTTCTGTGGGGGACCATCCCACCCTCCTTGCCTCAGACCCTTCCTCTGGTTATAGTTGAGCCCTTTCTGGCTGCTAAAGAAGACACAGTGTCACCACGGGGGCTGTGACTGCTTCCACTCTAGCTCAGAATCAAAGAAGCACCCTGTGTGCGGCCGGCCTTACTGTCCCCTCTGTTCCTGTGTGTGAACTCAGGACTGGGCTGACTCTCCAGGCATCATTGTCTCCATGCTCCTAGTCGCTCCTCAGACTTCTGAGGCCTCTCTGAGTTTCTGTAACATCCTTTGCCTTCTTGCCTCTCTTCTCACAACTTTCTCAGTAGTTCTCCACCCTGAATGTGTAGCAGGATCACCAGGGAAGCTTTATAAAATGCAGAATCCAGGACCCCGTTCATAGAAATATTTATGTTTTTTGAGTTGGAGTCTCACTCTGTCGCCCAGACTGGAGTGCAGTGGCTCACTACAGCCACCGCAGCCACGATCTGCTGGGCTCAGGTGATCCTTCAGCCTCAGCCTTTCAAGTAGCTGGAACTACAGGCACATGCCACCACACTCAGCTAATTTTTTGGCTTATTGTAGAGGTGAAATCTCACCAAGTTGCCCAGGCTGGTCTCAAACCTATGGGCTCAGGCAATCCTCTTACCTCTGCCTCCCAAAGTGCTGGGGTTATAGGGATGAGCCACTGTGCCTGGCCCTAGAAAGATTAATTTCCTGATTTGGGGGTGGGAACTGGGCAATCGTATTTATTTTCTATAAATATAAGGACAAAATTATACATGATGATCAAAATTACACATGATGACTGTGCTGAGAAATAAGGATGCCTCATTCTTGTAGTTGGTGAATTGTTTGCTGCATGATTGGGTCTATCTATTATTTAATTATGACTAAGGACTACAAGAAGCACTGGGACAAGTAGTGGCACAAGAGATACAACTTACCACCTTTCTCACTACTCTTTTCCCAAATACCCCTAAGTATTCAGTATGGTGCCATGTATGTCCCTTTCATGATGACAATTGTCAAAGATTTTATTTTATATGCGTTTTAAAACTGGAGTCATAAATAGTGACCTGTACACAAACTCCTATTACCAAGCCAAAATGCATTCAGAGCCAAAACTTCCATAGAACATGAGCACATAGACAGCCAAGCAGCACTGGGTACCCTGTCTATTTTCTTTTTTTCCTTTCCCATCCACCCTAAAGAAACCTGTCTATTTTTATTCACAAGAGTGCTGATTTGTTGTTTAAGGAAACAAGCTGTTTCTGAAAGTCTACCCAAGAATACGGATCTTGAGCTGGGTATGGTGGCTTACACTTATTAACCCAGCACTTTGAAAGGCGGAGGCAAAAGGATTGCTTGAGCCGAGGGGCTCCAGATCAGCCTGGGCAACTTGACGAGAACTTGTCTCTACAATAAATCAAAGAATTAGCCAAGTGTGATTGCACACACCTGCAGTCCCAGCTACTGGAAGGCTGAGCCGGAAGGATTGCCTGAGCCCAACAGGTTGAGGCTGTAATGGCCATAAGTGTCCCACTGCACTCCAGACTGGGTGACAGAGTGAGACTGTGACTCAAAAAAAAAAAAGAATAAGGGTCCTAATTTGGCTAACAAATTCAGAATAGCTAGAATAGGAGTAAGAAGACATGCCCATTCTTTTCAGTCAAATGTATGCCTGCTGTGCTGAATCAATGATCCCAAGTCCATTTTTGTTTTTTCCTTATAAAGGCAGGTCAGGGTGGGCTCTCAGGGTGACATCCCTTCACTGTGACTCTTGGGGGCCCTGAAGATCTGATACTCTCAGACCCAGGAAATGTGCCCTATCGCTGTCCACTGATCGTCTCTGTGCCCACCCTCAAAACAGGGCTGACGCTTTTCACCCCCAAAGCAAAAGCCTGTAAGGCAAGAAACCCACATATGTCATCACATCCTTCCTAGAGCTCTTAGATGTGTTTGAGTGAAACTCTATCAAAAAAGCAACATCTTCATTTACATTGCATTAAGTCTTGTTCAGACATTGTGATGAAACATAGAGGTTATTTTCAACTCCTAAGATAAGCAAAAGAATTTCATGTATACTTAAGGTGGATGCATTTTTCTGTTGGTATATTATACAGCAATAAATATCTTTTAAACATTATAAAAATTGCCTAGTACAAAGAGAAATGCTCTTGGCCACGCTGTGTTTTGTTTTTCTCTGTTTAGGGTGGGAGTCTTTGATTCTGTTCTTCCAGTGCCGTATCTGTGGGCTTCACAGTAGCGGCTCCTGTGGACAAGGTTTCACACTTGTGTCAAGAACACTTCAGCTCTTATGTCTTATGTTCTGTCACTAATGGCAAAAACTTTTGGGGAGGAGCCCTTGAAGCTGCGCCAACAAACTTCATCGAAGCGTGAGGAGGTATAGCCTCCGCTAATGGATCCGCATGAGATTTGCTCACCGTACTTCTCCAATCTGTTTCACTTGGTTCCCCTCTGTGTTTCCTGTTTCTGATTTCAGGTTGGATTTTAGGCCCCGCAGGTGCACAACACAGCAGTCCTGCCTCAGAATTTTCCATGGTGCCCCCCAGAGCATTGGTGACCCCCAAGAATCCTCTGGAGGTATTGATTGCATTGGTCGCTATTTCTAGAATAATGTAGCATGAATCAGTACTTCATTCCTCTTTATGGATGAACAATATTCCATTGGGTAAATAGACAAGGTCTGCATAGATTTTGATGTGAGATTAGCCTGTAAGTTCATTAACTGAGCTGCAGACCGTGAACACTGACACTCTCTTGCACAACTGCTACAAAACCCCAACCCAAGTTACATCATACAGACATCCTCTCACCCAGGCACCAGTGAGGGGTTCACATGGCTGGCTTGAAGGAGTTTGCACACTAGGGAAGGTAGAAGTCCACCTTGGATGACTTTGTGAAAGATTCTGGCACCCTCTGAGCCCAGCCCCATCCTCTGTATTTGTAAGGAGTTCTCACAGGTGAACCCATTGCACAGGTGGAGTCAAGAGCTATGCTCTTATAATTAGGAATTCCTCCCAATTCCCTTTAGGCTCACCTCAATGTAGAAAACTCTGTGTTCTCCCCTCCCCCCTTTTCTCTTCTATTCCAGTCTCTTCTCATTCAGCTAACACTGATTAAGCACCTCCTAGGTGCTATATACAGTTAGATGTTGAGATCCAACATTAAAGAAGCTTGACTTATGCCCTCCAGGGAGTTGACAGCTGGTCAGGGAAACAATCCAGTCTACAAGGTGGACATGCTGAGCGTTCAATTCTGTAAGGGGAGAGGGGACTGGGAGGACGCAAGAGGAAGTGCTCAGGATTGCTCAGAGAGGTCAGGGAGGGCTCTGCAGAGGCAGTGACATTTGAGCTGGGTCCTAGGGATGAGCAAGCTCTCTGGGATGACATGACAGTTGAGGAAGAGGGTGTTCCAAGAGTGAGGACATTAAGTACAAAGTATTGAGGCTGGAAAGAGCATAATGTGCTCAGAGAAATGCAAGGAACTCAGGTTCAGCTGTGAAAGGTTGTCCACAGTCAGGATGGAGGGTGCCAAAAGCACAGTGAGTCTTATAAGCCACAGTAACAACTTTGGACTTGGCCTGAGGGCTAAGGGCAGCCACTGAAGGATTTTAATCAGAGAAATGACACGTTTTTTTGAAATGGGTTCAAGTCCTAATTCCCACAGGCATAAGAAAGTGAACTTCATTTTTTTCTATGACTCAACCAAAATTTACAACTGGGGCTGGGACACTGAATCTCAGTGGCAACCCAATTTCCTTCTAGTGAGTTTCCTGTACTAAAGAGGCTGGAAAGCTAAAAACCACAATCTCCCGACTCCCTTGCAGCTAGCATTCCAGGTAAGACTTAGGTTCTGCCTCTGAGATGTACAGTATATTAGAGTTCTGGAAGGTGGAAGGGAAGGAGAAGCTCCTGATCTTTCTGCTGTCAGAGGCAGTCAGGCGGCATCAGAGGACTAGGTCCTGCTGGCTTCATGGGTATTGAGAGGCAGAATGGGGTAATTCTTTTTCTTTTTGCCCATACAGACCTAGCTGTTACAGAGTAGTTCTAGTGCCAATAGTTGTAGCTATGGCTTCTCGGCTCTCATCCTCCCCAACATGACACTCCCCAAGTTAGTCTGTGCCTGCTAGAGGTCAACTCTAGCCTGGTCTAGAAGTCTTCCATCAATTTTTGTAGCACCTTATTGCCTATATCCCCACATTTTCTGTTCAGAGATAGTAGTTTCTATTATCTACAGATCCAATTTGATTCACACAGTACCATCCTCGGGTGCTCGGGAACCACTGCAGCTCCTGCTTCAGTGCAGCCCCAGCCAGTGCCACGTGACATGAAGACCTCTCTGTGAAGTCTGGGGAAACATAGGTGAACTCAGTTTCCAAGGAAGGAGGCCATTGTGCCTTCCACCATGATTCAGTGGTGAAATGGCATTCCCCAAACACAGGAAGGGGTTCAGATACTCGGTAGTCAAAAAGAATGACAAAATTCTTCAATAATTAATAAAAATCCCTTTATTTTATAATGTACCCAAAGACCGCAATGCAAGAAGGGGGTGATTTTTATCTGAAAGAAAGTTGCTTAAAGTGATAAAAGCTCAGGGTTCTGTGGGAAGTATACTGTGTTCCTCCAGCCTCTTGGGTCTGGAAGCCTCCTTCTCTCCCTCCTCATGTGAGGCATGGCAGTGGCCGGGGATGTCTGTGCCAGGGCTGGAGCCCTGGGACAAGCCCCAGGAAGGCAGGGGTCCAGCTCAGTGCTGTCTCTTCAGGAAGCGCAGGCCCACCTTCTTATTGGGAACCAGGACAATGCGGGCCACACTCTTTAGCTCGCCAGTCCCCGGGGCCAGGACCACCTCGTACTGCTGGAGCAGCTAAGAGGTAAAGAGCACATGTGGAGGTTAGAGTCTGCGTGCCACCCACTGCCCCCTCTGCACACTCCTGCCCGGTCCCTCCCTCCCTCCCCTCCCAGGTCTCCTTCAGCCCTCCCTGCCTATACACCCCTCCAGCCTCTCCCGCCTCACCCTTGCCAGCAGTAGCTGCATCTCCAGCTCTGCAATCCTGCGCCCCAGGCAGGCCCGGACCCCGTAGCCAAAAGGCACAGAGCCAAACGGGTGTTGGATCCTGTGGGCATCAGGCTGGCTGTTCTTCAGCCAGCGATAGGGCTGGAAGCTCTCAGGCTCAGAGAAGATGCTGGGGTCCCGGCTCACCACATAGTGGCATAACACAAACTGGGTCTATAGAGGAAGAATGGGCAGCGTGAATCCATCCACTCAGGGCTGTGGGGTACTCCTGGGTACTCAGGCTCTCTAGCCCCACTCACATTTTTGGGGAAGAGGAAGCCACCAACTTCAATTTCCTTTTCCATGATGACCCGGGAGTTTATGGGGACCACAGGGTAGAGGCTGCAGGGAAAAGAAAGTCTAGGGTCTGTCTCTGAATGCAGGGGAGGGGGACGCAGAGTGTCCACTCCCCCCCGCCCCTGCCAGCTCACCTTAGTCCCTAGCCCCAGCCCACCAGTCCCTACTTCCCATCCCTGCCTCTGACTCCTCCCACACACAGAGACCTGTTCTTCTGAGAGCAGCAGCCTACCGTAGAGTCTCCTTAAGCACAGCTTTGAGCAATGGCATGTGGGCAAAGTCCTTGTGCTGGGGCACCTGCCCGGCTGGTACCACACCCACCACTTCCTCGTGCAAGGCTGCCTGGATCTCTGGGTTCTTTGAAAGGTGGTACAGGGCCCATGTCAGCGTGTTGGATGTCTAGGAGATAGAGTGGGAGATGATGTGAGGGAGGATTTCCTGAAAAGAGGCCAGTAGTGGGAAGGTATACGTGGGTGCATGCAAAATGCAGGAGAAAGCCAATTTGCCACAAGTATGGCAGGAAAAGACATGAGGGCTCATGGGAACCTCCATGCTAAACATGAATCTACAGTGGAGTGAAGACCCATATGATGGAGAATCACACCTTAACAGAGAATGGGACTGTGACAAAAAGAAATTCAACAAGACAAAAGCACTAGAAATAGGTCCCATAGAGAAAAAAGGTACTTGTGTGCAAGTTTGCAACTCTCCACTTAAATCTGCAACGAAGCTGGGCTTGGTGGCTCAGCCTGTAATCCCGCGCCTTGGGGAGGCTGAAGTGAGTGGATCGCCTGAGCCCGCGGGTTCGAGACCCGCCTGGGTGGCGAGACCTCATCTCTACAATAAATCAAAAAATCAGCCAGGTGTTGTAGCACATGCCTGTAATTCTGGCTACTTGGAAGGCTGAGGCGGAAGGATTGCTGGAGCCCAGCAGGCGAGGCGGTGGCCGGGAGCGGCCACTGCACTCCAGTCTGGGCGACAGAGTGAGACTCCAACTCAAAAAAGAAAAAAAAAGAAAAAAAAAATTGCAACGAGAGTTGGATTAGATGTTAAGTGAGACTTCCCAGATATCAGAGAGATGCTAGGAGCAGAGGCTCATCATCATAATCCTAGCTACTTGGGAAGCTGAGGCGAAAAGGTTGCTTGAATACAGGAGTTTGAGACCAGTGAGAACAGTGAGACTGTGTTGCCTGGCCAACACAGTGAGACTCAATCACTTTCAAAAAATTTTTTTTCGACCGGGCTCGGTGACTCAACCTGTAATCCCAGCACTTTGGGAGGCCGAGGCAAGTGGATTGCCTGAGCCCAGCAGGTAGAGGCTGTGGTGGCTGTGAGCATGCCACTGTACAGCCTGGGCAACAGAGTAAGACTCCAACTCAAAAAATTTTTTTTGTTTTTCAATTAGTAGGCACGATGGTGCACACCTATAGAAAAAAAAGAAAGTTCAAACCAGCTGTCAGAGTCAGGGGGGAGGCTCCAGGAGGCAATGGAATCCCCCTTACAAAAGGACAATCCCCTGGCCGCCTCAGCTGGGCTGAATGACCCCTCTCTTTTCCTTCTAGTTCTGCATCTGTGTTACAGAAAATGAAGCAGGTACTTGGAGAGGTGAAGGTCAGGATCGGGGTGGATAATGGGGAACTGGCTCAGGACGGGAGGCAGGAGCCCCTGGTTTCCTCACCACGCCCCCTCACGTACTGTGTCCACTCCAGCCATAAGCAGCTCAGGCAGGCTTCCCATGGTGTCCCGAGGACTGAGCTGTCCACTGGTCAGCAGGAAGTGCAGGTAGCCAGACACCTGGGCCCCATCTGGCCCCCCTGCCTGTAGCTGGGCCTCCACCTCCTTGAGTTTCTCATCAATCAGCTTCTTCCCTGTGAGGACAATGGAGAACAGGAAGGGACAAAGTCAAAAGCCATGATCTCCAGGGACTAAGAGCCACTCCAGCAGCTGGTAGCATGAAGGGGAAGGTCCTGGGAGAGCCTGCTAATGCACAGACCCGGGAGCTGCCCCCATTCTACCTCCCTGGCCCCAGTCTGGGACTCCTCACCAAAGGAGAAGATAACGTTCCAACCATCCAGGTAATTCTTCCAGAAAGGCAGCAGGGAGCGGGTCCACTTGGGGAGAAAGGTGGCATAGATTGAGTTCTGGAACATGAGCCCTACAGATCGGACGAAGGCCACAGTGTCCTCGGGGATGGATCGCTCCAGGCAACCAATGCGTTTCTCGAACAGGATATAGCTAATAGCTGAGGAGTGCACAAAGGCCATCACAGGAGGCAGAGCCAGGGCACAAAGAATCCAGGGGGCCTTGAGGAGGGGGGAGCACAACCTCCACCTGGCCCATTCCCAGCCCCGGCCCCTCTCCAGTAAGTGTACCTTCCAAGGCAAAGTAGTAGAAGAGGTGAGCCACGTTGGGTACCTCGTCCCCTGTGGCACTCTCCGCCCGCAGCTGGTCCAGTCGCGTCATAAAATCATCAATCACCTCATTGAGAGCATCCGCGTAGAGAGCCGCCTCGGCTGGCTTCAGCAACCGCTGGTTTAGAGCATGGCGCAGCCGGTACCAGTGCTGACCTTCCCTGCGGGGTCACAGAGGAATAGCACAAACATAAACCTCTGGTGAGGGTTCAATTAAATAAGATCTCCCCACCCTGAGGCCTCCATCTCCCAAGTCAAGGGAAATCTCATACTCCTAGGATTTAGAATGATCGAGTCATCAAAATTTCAAATGACAGAATCTTAGAATCACAACATTTCAGACTCTCACTATAGCATAGTGGAAATGGGTAAGGTGGACAACCGGAACTAGACTTCCTAGGGTCAAATCACAGGTCTGTTACTGGTAGAGTGGCCTTAGGCAGATGGCTCAACTTTTGTGGGCCCCTTCTGTAAAATGAGCATATTAAGAGTGCCTATCTTAATAGAGTTATTTGGGATATTAAAGTGCTTAGCTCAGTGCCTGGCACATGCTGAGTGCTCAGAAAATGTGGTCTGATTGTCTTAGAATTATACAACTCTGGATTCTTCCTTATTGTGAAACAAGGGGGAATTGCAGTGGTTCTGGTTCCTCTGTGCAGAGACTGAGAAATAAAGGAGGAGCAGGTTAAAGTTCTTGGGGTGCTCAGGTTCTGCTTGGCCCAGTCAAGGAAACATGGTGGTCCACCAGGCTGATGCCCCAGACCCTACTGCCTCAGCCATCGGTAGATAGTCAGCCCCCTCCCTGGTTAGGCAGCGATGCTCCCATGGGTGGGAATATGCTTTCCACAGAGGGGCTTAATGTTCAGGGGTTTCACCCAGCCTCAGCCGTCCCCCAAACCTGTTGCCTTTCCTAAGCAAGCCGGATACAAGTCCATTTTCTCAAAGCTAGCTAGCTGCAAGGCAACAGGCATAACAGTCCAATTTTAAAAGGAAGAGAGGAAATTCTGCACATTCATGTGTGTACTCTACGCTTCTCCATGAAGTAGAGAAGAACACACCAAACTGTCAGCACTGACTGCTAAGGAGGGGGGATAGGAGTGGGGGGAAAGAGGGACAAGATTTTATTATTAGAATTTTTACAGTAAGTATTACCTTTGAATTTTAAAAACTAGTAAAGTTTTAAAAACATATTCTATTTTATTTTTTGAATCTGAGTCTCACTCTGTTGCCCAGGCTGCAGTGGCACAATCATGGCTCACCGCACCCTCAAACGCTTGGGTTCAGGTGGTCCTTCCACCCCAGCCTCCTGAGTAGCTGGGACTGCAGGCGTGTGCTACCATGCCCGGCTAATTTTTTTAGTTTTTGTAGAGACAAGGTCTTGCCGTGTTGTCCAGGATGGTATCGAACTCCAGGACTCAAGCAATCCTCCCACCTCGGCCTCCCAAAGTGCTGGGATGATTGATTACAGGCCTGAGCCACTGTGCCTAGGCAATTTTTAAAAATGACTCATTTAAATGAACTTCAACTCCCCTTCCCAGGAACTCTCTTTATTATGTTGAGGGAAAGCTCAAAAAGATAAACTAAAAATGTTGCTGAAAAAGAAATGAAAACCAGCCGGGCTCAGTGGCTCAGCCTGTAATCCCGCACCTTGGGAGGCTGAGGTGAGTGGATTGCCTGAGCCCGCGGGTTCGAGACCCGCCCGGGTAACTTGGCGAGACCGCATCTCTACAATAAATTTTTTTTTAAAATTAGCCGGGTGTGGCAGCGCGCACCTGTAGTTCCAGCTACTTGGAAGGCTGAAGTGGAAGGATTGCCGGAGCCCAGCAGGTCGAGGCTGCGGTGGCTGCGGCCACTGCACTCCAGTCTGGGTGACAGAGTGAGACTCCAGGCTCAAAAAAAAAAAAAGACTATCTCTCAAAAAAAAAAAATTTAAGTTAAGCCTTCCTAATTAATATGGTAATAATGTTTATAAATAGATATGTTCCATTATTATTAGTGTTCACATATTTTCAACATTCTATAATGTAGAATAATGGAACTGGGAAGTCCTTCAGGACGCCTTGGAGATACTCTGGTCCAAACCTTCTATTTCACAGATAAGAAACATAAGGCTAAGGAAAAGGAAATTATTATTTGTCCAAAGTCACCCAATATATTAGTAGAAAGCTCGTGAATGGTCCCTGTGCTTCCCAACAACTGTTTTTAGACTGTCAGGCTCAGGGAGACCCCACTCTGCCCATTATCCAACAGACTACCCCGGGCCCAGTCTTTTGACTTGGCCCGCTGGGGCCCTGTTCCAGTCCCTTTGGGCCCCGGCTCACGTGGTGAAGGGCCCATAGGCCAGGCCGTGCTGGTCCCGGTGCTCCTTCCACTGCTCCATGTCGTTGCGTACTGGGTACTTGCCCTCTTGCCGCATCACCTGCTCCAAGAGTGGGGCACTGGCCAGGTTCACGTGCTTCTTAGGCCCTAAGTGTGAAATCCACATTGGGCCGTACTTGGCCTTGTTCAGCACCTGTGGGGTTCAACCAAAGCTGAATGACTGGGGCCCAGCTGGGCAGGCACTTCCAGGAGAGGAGATGGGGGTGGAGGGTCTGATGGCTACACCAGAGCATGTACGCTGGGAAAAAAAAAAAACAAAAACAAAGTACATCATATAGGAGGTAGGCACCGGGATGGCCTGCTGTTCCAGAGGAAGCACACTGAAAAAATGGGCATACAAGAAGCTAGAATATTGAGAGTAATGTGTTCTGGTGGAACTGGGGGAATTGAGGTTCTTGGAGGAATGAGAGTTTGGAAAAATGGGATATGTGACAAACTGAGGTCTATTGATATGTATGTCGTGGCCCAGCACTTTAGGGAAACTGAGGCCTCTAGCGAGGTTTTTATGTTGCTAGTTGTTGAAAATGTAGTTAGTGATGTGGAATAAAGTAATAATATATAAAAGTTTAAGTTGAGTAATGCCCTGACAGCTGTAAATGTTGGTATTATAATGCTATTATTTTTTTAGTTCTTGAATAATTACTCATTTGGGTAGGAATCCTGTGAGTGGGGGTAATTCCCCTTGGGGTAGTAGGTTAACCAGAATCCTAGAAGACAAGTGCTTCTGTTTAAGTTAAATATCATGAATATTGTGATTTTTAAAATTACAAAAACTAATAAGCTTAGGATTGTTATGGCTATTATCTAGAATTCCTATAGCTTTTTCTTTTTTTTTTTTTTTTCGAGTTGGAGTCTCACTCTGTCGCCCAGACTGGAGTGCAGTGGCCGCTCCCGGCCACCGCAGCCTGTACCTGGGTTCCGGTGATCCTTCCGCCTCAGCCTTCCAAGTAGCCGGAATTACAGGCATGCGCTACCACGCCCAGCTGATTTTTTGATTTATTGTAGAGATGAGGTCTCGCTGCCCAGGTGGGTCTCGAACCCGCGGGCTCAGGCAATCCACTCACCTCAGCCTCCCAAAGGCGCGGGATTACAGGCTGAGCCACCGAAACTGGCAGCTTTTCCTTAGCATTTAACTACTGCAGCTTGTTGTCAGCGAGATGAAGATAAATGTCTTGTGTAATAAACATGATTAGAAACTTCAGAACAAAACAAGAAGCTGGATAAGAAAGTCAGGGCCCAAATATAAAATAAGCCATGTAGTATGTATTTTTTTTTTTAAATGTAATAAAATGAAATGGATTGCCTGTATCCGGTAATATGATTCTCGAATATTTTATCTTACTTATTTTTTTTGGAGGTAGAATCTCACTCTGTCACCCAGGCTGGAGTGCAGTGGTGCAATGCAGCCTTGATCTTCTGGACTCAAATGATCCCCCATCTCAGCTTCCTGAGTAGCTGGGACTATGGGTACATACCACCACACCCAGGTAATTTTTTATTTTTTGTGGAGACGAGGTCTCACTATGTTGCCCAGGCTGGTCTCAAACTCCTGGGCTCAAGTAATTTTTCGGCCTTGGTCTCCCAAAGTGCTGGTATTATAGGCATGAGCCACCACACCCAGCCTATCTTAGAATTTCTAAAGCACTTGACAATTGACAGTCGTAGCATCTATAAAATTGACATTGCTACAGTGTTTTTATAGTTGCTGAAAATGAGGAAGAAAAGAAATACATTTTGGTTTTGGGACGGGGTAAAACTTAAAAATAATCCACAAATCCTGAGATTAAATTTCCTGGCTAAATTACACCTACAAACAGAGAGAAAAAGGTATTTTATCTTTCATAACGTGTTACTGAAGAGATTTTAAGAAGATCAGAATATGTTCCAGTATAGAAATTAGGCCAGAGGGCTTCTATAAAAGAGATATTAAAATTATAGTAGAGATCTATCATTCAAATTATAGAAGAAACCTCATCCAACTCATAGTCCAAAAAAAATGCCAACCTTACTGGGTCTTACAACTGGTGTTAAATTAGATTCTCCTAGAACCAGTGCTACATAATTGCCCCCAATTTATCATCATCCTATTGCACAGACTCCACCCTGAGCTAATGACTGATCTTGCCAATTCCTAGGAAGACCATCTTGACACAACCCCAACATCCACTTAGACTTGTTTCCCATTTCTACCTCCTAGGAACAACTGCCAGCATGGTGTGATTTTGAACAGTTGATTGTCTGTAAACTATAGCAAATAAGCCGTTTTCCTAGAAGGCAAATAAATCCCTTGCTGGTGAGAGTCTAAAATGGCACATTCCTGCTCAGAGGACAGAATGTTAATATTTATAAAAATGACAAACAAATGTACAAACAAATTATGAGACATCCACATAATAGAATACCATATCATCTTTAAAGGGGACAAAGTATTGCCTTGGGGACTAATATAGAAAGATATCCAAGATAGATTGTTAAGTAAAAATGTATGGTACTTTTTGCCTAAGAAAGGGGTTCCAAATAAGAATACATAGCATTTGTATTTACTTTTACTGAAAAATACTGGATGGATACATTAGAAACTAATTTAAATGATTACAAAGGGAGGATGAAGGGGACAGTAGTGAGAGCCAGACAGCTTAATGTAGATCATGCTATCCTGCTTTGAGTTTTGAACCATAAATGTATTGCCTACTCAAACCCTCTAAAATCTAAAGGGTAAAGGCCAGGCATGGTGGCTCACGCCTATAATCCCAGCACTTTGGGAGGCGGAGGTGAGAGGAATGCCTGACTCAGGGGTTTGAGACCAGCCTAAACAACATGGCAAGACCTCATCTCTACAGTAAATAGATAATTTAAAAAATCTAAAGGGAATAAAAGAAACAATGTTTCCTGAAACAATAAGTCACCTGCCGTTGATCAGATAATTCCAGGAGGGAGGAAAACCTTGCTGAACTTCTGAATTCATGTAAATAATCCTTATATTTACAAGCAGGTCCTAGCCATACTCATTTTCCTATGAATGAGTTTTACTTACTTTTCTTAAAGTTTTCTTTTTAAAAAACACTTGACATACAGGCCTATTTTTCTCTATTAAATTCCTTACGAGCTTTATCCTAAAAGTAGGCTTAATTTATGCTTCCAGTTTAGCTTATTTAAGACATTAAGAATAAAATTACACGATTTCCATAGAGCTAACCATAAACCAGACACTGTTCCAAATGCTTTACTTACATCAACTCATTCAGCATAACATATTAGCTCCTCACTACAGCTGTTAGGGTAGTGGTAATGTTTAACATTACCGCAATTTTGCAGATGAGGAACCTGAGACCCAAAGAAGTTGTCCAAGGTCACTTTGCCTTAAGTGACAGAGTCAGGGTTCACTCTGACCACCTGGCTGAAGGCCACACTCTTAACCACTTACTCCATGGATCCCTGAGAAGAATGACTATGTCCTACTAAATAGAAACAAGCTTAGGCCCTTTGAAAACATGTGTTGTAGCCGGGCTCGGTGGCTCAGCCTGTCATCCTGCGCCTTTGGGAGGCTGAGGTGAGTGGATTGCCTGAGCTCACGGGTTCGTGACCCACCTGGGCAACTTGGCGAGACCTCGTCTCTACAATAAATCAAAAAATCAGCCAGGCGTGGTAGCGCGCGCCTATAGTTCCAGCTACTCGGAAGGCTGAGGCGGAAGGATCGCCGGAGCCCAGCAGGTCGAGGCTGTGGTGGCCAGGAGCGTGCCACTGCCCTCCAGCCTGGGTGACAGAGTGAGACTCCAACTCAAAAAAAAAAAAAGAAAAGAAAACATGTGTTGTTATTGTTGTTATTTTGAGTCAGGGCCTCACTCTATTACCCAGGCTGGAATGCAGTGGCACAATCACAGCTCACTGCAGCCTCGAACTCCTAGGCTCAGAAGATCCTTCCATCTCAGCTTCCTAAGTAGCTGGGACTACAGGCATGTGCCACCACGCTTGGCTAACTTTTCAATTTTTTATAGAGACAAGATCTCCCTAAATTGCCTAGTCTGCTCTCAAATGTTTGGGCTCAAGTAATCCTTCATCTCGGCCTCCCAAAGTACTGGGATTATAAACATGAGCCACTGCACCTAGCCAGCTTGTGTTATTTTAAAACCACAATAACTATGCAATAACCCAGGATTCCTCAACTGTGGCCCTGTTAACATTTGGGGCTGGATAATTCTATGTTATGGCAGACTGTCGTGTGCATCACAGGATGTCCAGCAGCATTCCTAGCTTCTACCCACTAGTACCCTGCCCCCTCTAAGTTGCGACAACCAAAAATGTCTCCAGACATTCCAAAATGTCCCCTGGGGGTGGAGAGGGAATCACCCTAGGTTGAGAACTACTGCAGTGAACCCAACCTCTTAATATATCTTTTAATTCTTTAATTTTGGAGGATTCTTTTTAAGAAATAATATATCATGTTGAAAAAAATATTTATCTGAAGTTTGGCTTCTTATCTTTCTGTTAAGTTCAAGTAAAATTGCATGTAATGTTTTAATACAAATGTCAACAGCAGTTACCTTAATGGTGGTAGACAGTTGTTTACAGATTAACTTTCTTTTTTATACTGTGATTTGTTTTTCAAAATTTTTTACCGCATTCTTAGAATCCGAAAAAAATATATATTTTTAAAAAGACTAGATAAATAGTCATGTAATGGGATACCAGCTTGTTCCCTGGAATCCAAAGTCTCTGAGACTATTTCCTGGCTGTCAGTGTGGAGGTTTCTTCAACATTTCTCCTTTCCCTAGGCCATGCCTTCTTCCTTCTTCCTCCTCTCAGTTAGTTACTTGGTGGAACTTAATAAAGATCTACTTATGTAAGAAGTTATTTTAGAAAGACATCAGAATACTTGATGAGAGATGCGTGCTGTGTCTGTGAGCCTTCCATTAGGTCGTAACCTGAGCCAGTTAGAGAATCCTAACATTCTCAGATGGGTCCTTGTCTAAGAGCCACTTTGCAGAACAGAGATAATCTGTCAGAATGAATGGGAGGACTAGCCCCCACCTGACGAAACCCCAAAGCAACAGGGTGTTGAATTCATTCAACAATCATTAAGTATATATCCTATTTCTCCTATACTGTTCTAGAAGTTAGGATATAGCAGTAAGC